AAAAAAAACTAAGAATAAGAAGCAATGAGCCCAACCACGGTTTGACACGTGACAGGTTGGTTCAAGCCTAAACATATAAGCCATTAAAAAACCTGGTTTCACCCATAATGGAACGTTCCCTATGGAGACATCAGTGGCCAGGACTGGTAAAAAACACCTCCATGATGGAAATATCCCTTTATAACAAAGAGCATGTCAGTACATAAATAGAGGTGTCCCAGAGGAGAGGTTCACCACTGCTCTAGTATTGAACATCACATCTTACTCCTCACCAACTCACCCTCAGTGTGTGCCTTCTGCTACCATCCTCTCCATAATCCACAATTAATGCACACCCACCATGGTCAGCTATGGCCTCACTCATGTGTTCCACAATGGCACCACCCTGGGGGCACACCTCAATTTGGTTCCCAAAGGTGCCTTGAGGTACTAAAGTCTGTGAGGCTAAGGTAGGAGCAGGTGCTAAGACAAACCTCAGCTGTGAGGACCTATTACAATTCCAAATAATACTATGAAGGAAGGAAATTTCACACAGGTCTCAAGCAAAATTACGTGCCAATGGAGAAATTTGAGCCCTTCAAAATCTACATACTCTCTTTCTGGTGAAACATCCACAAGAACTTCTCTCCAGCCCTGATCTGTTTTCTTATAAAAAAAGAACATCAGTCTCATTAATGAGCTTGCAAATTGATGATTTCATGGAAAGCCTTGACATTATTAAGGAACTGATAAAGAGCAATAACTTTAACATTTAAAGTTATTTAAGACCTTTCTTTGATTCAGTTTTCCAGCTTTGGAGGCTACTGTATTCTTTGCACTTCCTCAGCTTCCTTCAGCCATGCTCTAGGTCTTGAACCCACAAAACTTAAGCTCCTTATTTAGCCTTTAAATAATCATTGACATCAAGTCTTGGGTGGAACACTTATTCCTGTGTCCTATGCACCCTCTGTACTGTAAGCCCCTTTGCTGATAGCAATGTTAGGAGGTGTTACCTGAAACTGATGGACTGGAAGGGCATCAAAGAACTCATGAGCAATGAAAAAACAGTTTCCTGTACAAGAGATGTCTTGAATTGCTCTGTACCATGACACTGGGGTACCATTCTGTGTGACACACTTTTTATAACACAACTCTGATCCACCCTAAAAATTAGAAAATTGTAATCTTGATAATTGACTATGGAAGCAGGTGTTAGCTACTTGAACAAATACCAGTACACAAAATCTATCTTTTTTTAAATGAACACTATTAAAGCTACATCTTAAAAAGAAGTCAAATTATTCACAAAGTTGTGGAAATCCTGCTTTCAATAGCATGCAGTAGCCATTGGAAGCATTACTAATATCTCAGAATGAGATGCTTGTCCATAACAAGTAACCCAGCCACTCCTCATGTCTGGTCTCCCTTACAAGATTTTGGTACCCCTTTATACTCTGTGAGAGTAGTATGTCTTTCCCATTGGAAAAAAAAAGATGACTTGTCTAGAGCTTAAGTCCACACGTTTTGATTAGGATTGCAGTGCACTAAAAGGTAGGCTACTGGGTCCTTTCTCCTTATTTAGAAAACAGAGCACCTTCACTCGAGTCACAGCACACTCAGTGGTAATCACTTCCCTTTCAGCTGTTTCATACTGACATTAATGTTCCTCAAGGCTTTGCCTCATTGTTGGAGGAGAATAAATTTCTACCTCATACCTCCCTGTCTGTAGATCTGTCATCTGTTACAATGCACTGTTTTTCTTGGTCATTTTTGTGATCACCAGTGAGATTCTTTTCTTGAATTTCACTCAAGGCTGGACTGACTTCCACCAGATGCAAACTAAGTTTGCTATGGAGTTCTGGAAACTTGCCAAATACCTTATTTTAACAAAAAGTAAACAAAAACATGATTAGGGATAGAGAAAAAAACATGGTAAATCTTGGGCACAGCCAGAGCATAGGCATTAATAGCAAAATTAGAAATGACAAAATGGCTTCTAACTGTTTGTAAATCATCTCTGGTTTCTGTAACATGCAGTACCTGGCACCCACCAGAGCTCTAACTGGTCCTTCTATTGTTAAATTTTTAGTCAAAAATTATCCAGAAACCCTCCACTATGGGACCATAATTTGTTCAACACAACTAAATATTAAACAAAACTTACCCTCAATATATCTGAAGCTAGAGTGCCTCTGCCAGGTCCCAGCTCAACAAAATTTACTTTTTTCTTTCCTGACAATATCCACTGGTTTACAAACCACACACCTACAAGCTTGTTACAAACAGTTCATAATTAATGAATGAGTTAATTTACAAGAAGAAGAGAATGAAAAACAAAACATTAAATTTTTTTTGTTGAAATGGCCATCATTGTTGCCAACAACCATACTAACCCTCACTAAAAGATCATGGTAAAAGATAAAAAAATATATATTTGTATTTTATTCCAATGTATTTTACAGCCAATAAAAAGTACCTCTCCAAAGACCTGACTGATTTCTGGTGAAGTAATAAAATCTCCAGCTTGCCCAAATACATCACTGGTCATATAATAACCCTAAAAAATATTAACAGTATTATTACTTTTATGCAGGTAAGATAAGATTTTAATCTATGGCAAGCACTCCAAATACAAAAAATAATGGCAAACTGCATTTCAAAGTACTCACTCCTGGTCAATGTTGGCAAAGATGAAAACCGTGGAGCTTAATCCACCAAAAATTTTCTATTTAACTGGTTAGATACATCTGTGTGAATTCACAAAATATCTAGGTCCTGCCATCGAGTGAGGCCTTAAATTTACTATTATTCCTCAAAATGTCAGAGATTATCAAAACAAACAATTATATTTTGTTCCAAAATAACCATAGGCAAACCTAAAAGACTCAACTTACCGAAAGTGGATTAGTTAAAACTTCTTGCATGAAGGCAGCAACTGTCAGTGGTCCTGTAGCCTAATGATGTATGTGATAGTCATGGTTAGCACACAAGATTGGATATCCACCTACTGACTATGTGTTAGTTGTTTGAAGAGTGATTAACTATATCTTTTCTATATATATCTAATTAGACAATTTGGTGTGTAGTATGAGAAGCTAAGAGTTTTCACAAGTTGTGCAGTATTTTTATAACCCTGTAGGGCAAGTCAAAATACAAACAAAAAGTAAAAATACCAGGCAATTCTACACAACATCATGTCTGATAAGTTATTTATCATCCAGCTGCTTTTCTTTTTCTGCCAAGTACTTCTGCTTATTTCTCATAGGGCAGGATAGAGAAGTGTAGCATGCGCAGGTGACTGCTTAAACATTTTTTTTTAACAGTACAAAAGAACCAACTGTAAAATATCACAGGATATTTGTACTCAAATTTGCACAGTTGGATGATAAAAACTGGTATCCAATGCAATGTGCAGGCGTTTTTCAACACTAACAGACTAGTTAGAGAATCATCCCTAGCAAAGGGAAGAAGGGTTCAAAACTTTCATATCCAAGTAGAGTAAAACTTCTTGTAGCAGCCTTCATGTTGTACTACACATGAAGGCTGTGTACTGTCAGTATTACCACACAGCAAGACTTAGAGATACCCCTCTTCAACATGTCAAATCCTAACATTGCATGCCCTGTGTAAGGCTTGAGACACAAAAATCATACACTGCTTGGAAGCACAAACCAGCCTGAGTCATAAACCCTTCCTCTCTCCCCAAATCATCCTGTGGACAGTTTTCTTTTTATTCTTTGAGCAAATAGAGCTGAATGGTTTGTTTGGTGGATTCTGGATTGAACTGTCTGTCTGAGTTTGTGTTTAGCAGGATTTAGCCAATATCCACTTTAACATGTGTCTTTTGGACTTTGCCACAAAAACAACGTACAAAGTAAAGAATGGATATAAATGCTCTTTTACTCTTTTCATATCAATAGAAGCTTACAATCAAACAGGAGAGTCCCTATTATGTTGAAAATAAATAATTTTACACACACGTAATAGTTTAAAGTCTAACACAAGTTTAGAATAATGATGTGGGCCATTCCATCATTTTCTTGCGCACTCCTTTCCCCGCCCCGCCCCATCCTAATGATAGGCATATTTTCAATGGAATGTTCCATTATCGATCAATACCGCGAATTTCCATTCTGCATATGACTAACGCACATTCGCATCCAAGGGTGTCATTACCAAACAAACCATTAATACCTTAATTCTGTTAATAAGATGTTCTTGCAAACTGGCATTCCCAGGGCGTATGGCGGAGGACTTAAGTCCATTACATCTATACTTACACCCACGAGCTACAACAACACAAGGGAACATAAAATTTGTTAATCCCTTGTACAAAAATTATATCACGTCGAACTCAAAGAAGCCAGTCGGTTATAAAACGAGTTGCACAAAGGTGAATACATAACCAAACTCAGGGTGACAATATCTTCGCTTCCTACAATCTCTAACCTGGAAGTACTGAGGAGGTACACATCCTCAATAACAAGCGGGCGGCCATATTGGCCGTGAGTTGTGATGGTCTGGAACTTTCAAGAAGTTATTACTACCTGGGAGGGAGGGTGCGGGGGCGTTATGGAATTTTAGAATAAGTCGCTTAAACAAAACAAAACAAATATTATGGTTTCCCCTCTTGAATGTTCCCCTCTAATGCGGTTTTTTCTTTTCAAGATTCTAAGGGCTTGGAAAATCAGTGATGTATCTTTTTCGGCGTCATGACCAAAACAGAACGTTCCTCTCGAAAGGAAGTGAAATTAGTAAATAGAAAGAATATAAAGTACTTAATCAAAGTAACCTGTTCAGCAAAAGAAGATAAAAAGA